TGTGTTTGTCTCACTTCTCCCGCCACCCTTAGAACACACTACCCTCTCACTTCTCTTCTCCAGTGAGCTGGGTTGCTTCTTGCCTTTATCGAAGGCCATGCTCCTCCCATAGAGAAGATCTTCAGATCGGCCGCCCTCCTGCCTCCCAGTACCTGGGCCTAGTGTCTTCCTCTGGCTTCTTGCTACTTGCTTGCCTCGGCCAGGGAGAACTGGTTGGCTCTTCCCACCTCTCTAAATCTTCTGCTTCCCAAACCCTGCCTGCCCTCCAAAAACTGAGCTTCCAGAAAGTTCTGGCTGGAGCTTCTTTGCCAAACTCAGCAGAAACAAAGGAGCCATGCCCGCACCTTGCCTGTCATCAGCCCAGCCTCCAGCACCTCTCCTGAGTGGCCCTGCCATCCTGCGGGAGCATGCCTCTTGGCCTCAGCTTACACCTCCTTGTCCCACACCCTTCCCCTCTCTCTAGCCCCCGAGGGAGTGGGAGATTCACGTTTGCAAAGTGCCGTGAAAGACAAAAGAGCCAAGCACTTCCCATCCACAGGAAGAAAGCAATTTTAATTGAAAAATGAAATCACAGATTACATGCAAATCTTTGTTGGCAAATTTCAATTACCACCAAATTAAATGCATAGCTAAGCTAAGCATCTTTGGGACACTCCATGTAATGTTTGCCCGGGATACGTCCACATCGATCAGAGGAGGGCGTGATAGGTGTCTTCCTGCAGAACGAGTCTCCAGGAAGAATTCAGGGAACTCAGGCTCTAGCCACCTGGGATCCCCACACTGAGACTATCTCAGCCAGAAAGTGGGAAAAGAGGGCGGGAAAAGACAGGAGTTCTCACTACGTTTACCCATTCAACCTTCTGTCTTTCAAAAAAAAAAAAAAAAAAAAAAAAAGCAGGCATCAGCAAAGGCAAAATTAGAAAATCTTCTACCAGCAACAATACTAAAAATTGTGCCCCCAAAATGACCCCGGCTTTTCGTATTACTTTACAAAGGAGAACAGCAAAGCCCGGGGAGCCCCTTGATCAAGCCGAGGCGGCCAGCGGCAGAGCTGAGCCATGAACAGAGGTTCTATCATGCTTAGGACAGGCTTTGGCTCCGAGATGGTCTAGGGAACCCTAAGGAACAGGGTTCACGCTCTGCGGGAAGCCGGGGATGATAAAGCTGTTACCATTCTCCTATTTATCATCTCATTCTCATATTCTACTTCGTCTTGTTGGCTGTGTCAGGTACGGTGCCCACTGGCACATCCCATTCAGCATGTTGGACACCCAGGGACCACGGGCTTGCGGTGACCCGGGCACCACGCCGGGCACAGGGGCTGCAAAATCGGAGAGCTGGGCGCTGTCTCCTTCCTCGCCACCACGATCGTGTCATGCGGGTGCTGCAACTCCCAACGTGGACGCTGCCCCAGCTGTGCCTGAGACTGGCTTTAAAACAGTCTCGCCAACGAAACTGTAAGTGCGTTAGGGAAAGGGCCACGGTCATTAATCTGTGTGCTGCTTTCTCTATGTCCAGTGCACTGGAGTACGTCCCCTAATGTATATTAATGGAAAGTAATCCACATTGGAGAGAAAACTCTAAAAGCATGGTAGTTGCTTCTCGGAGAAAGTGGGGACGGCCGTGTGAGGCTTCACCCTGAATTTCAAGGCGGTGCTCCTCGATGTCTTTCATCCAGGCAGGAAGTTTCTTATCACTACAAGATAATTTCCATGTTGGCCAATACCCAAGTGGCTGGAGGACGCCGGGGAGGATTCAATTAAGCAACAGTCATGCCCATCACAGCATCTGTCTTGCCCTGGGACACCCCTGCTCTTGCCCTCTGTCAGACCCCAGGACCTTCCGTACACCTGGTGCGGGGAGAGGTGGGGAGAGAACAGGAAAAGGATATGGTTTTCAGGCCTGTCCCCAGGGTGGGACGAACCCGTTCTGTGAGTCGGGAACAGCCGCCAAAGCCAGGGCCCCCATCCTGAGTCTGATGAGAAAAGCCAGAGGGAGTGTGACAGGCCCGGACTGATGGGGAGAAAGTACCCCCTCGACAGGGCCCGGGGGCCCCAGCGAGGGCGGCTCTCACTCCGACTCCGCCTCTGCAGAGCATGTGGGTTCTCGCGGCCTTATCTGCCAGATGGCTCCCGGAGGGGATGATTTATTAGGTGCAGAAAGCTCGCTGATAAATTTTACTGCAAGTCCCCGGCAGAAGACTGGGGGTAGCAACGGCCCAGCACAGGCAGCTCTAATGGAAAGTGCCGTCACCAAAGAGCAAAGCATTATTTATGACTGTCTGTAATGCCGTTCGGGGGAAATTCATCATCGCCTCCCTGCTCCGTGCAAGCAGGGGACAGCAGCGCTGCGGGGCGGGGGAGCTCGGGACAGGTGGGGAACAGTTAGAGCTTCTCTGGGAATCTGCCAGGGGAGAGCAAGGCCGTATTTTGCCGGAGTGACCCCGCTCCCCTTGTCAAGCACTGACCTACAAGTCCCCTCGCCATCACTCCCCGCCCCCACTGTCCCCGCCCAGCCTCTCACCCTCCTCCTCCGGTCTTGGAAACAGGGACAAGAGAGAAAAAAGATGGCGTTTCCTTGGTCTCCGTGTGGGGTGTGGCTTCTGAGCCCTCTGCGGCTTGAAGGCAGTCCTTTCCAAAAACAGGCGTCTAGACCAGTGAACACTAGTCCCCACAGGGCTCAGAGCAAGAAAGGGGATGTTCTCCCATTTTGCAAAACTGCAAAAGAAACAGTCTTGGAACCAGACAGTGGCCCAGCGCAGGTCACTGGGCATCGGGGCCAAAGAGCTCAGAGGCTGGCTTCCCTGGGAGGCCCTAAAGCACTTTTCCTCCGCCCCACCCCCTGCAAGGTGTCTTGTGCTCTCACCTGGATGGAGACATTTGGGGGTGGCCCTATCCTAGCCCACCCCCTTCCCACCAGGTCAACAAGTGAGGCCCCAATCCCTATACTTCCTTTCCCTAAGTCTAAAGTAGTCAGTGATGACCATCTGCCTCACATTTGAATTATGTATGCCTCAGTCTGTCTCTCTTATCAAATTAAGTGCTCCTTGAGGGCAGGGTCTGTATCTTCTTCATTTTTATATTCATCTCAGCAGTAAGCAGAGCTCCTGGCACATAGGAGCTCTTGATAAATGCTTGATAATAAAATCACACTGGCAGACTTAAGATATACAGGGATTGCGGCCCCATGTGTTCTTATACATCTGTCACCCTGCTGGTATTCCTAGCATTTCAAAGTAGCTTGTCCCCACCCACGCGTCCATCCACTCGGTATAATGGAAAGAGCACTGGATTAAGAGTCAGGAGGGATGGGTTCCAGTGGGCAGCAACCCCAAACATTCCTTGAGTACAGAACATGACTCAAGTCAGACGGCACCCCTAAGGCAGTAATCAAACGTGGGCCGCTCGGTTTGCTTCTGCATGCCTTGGTGTGCTGGGGAGTAAAGGAATAATAAAATCTGCCCGTCCTAACTTACAGGACTTCTATGAGAACGTGAGTACGGTGAGGAGCAGGGGATTTGAGTTCTAGGAAGGGAGGGAACAGCTGTGTCCAATGGTTCTCCATGCCAAGAACTACACTTGAGCCCTTCGTAGGCATTATCTTGTGCAAATACCTTCACAGCAGTTCCACAGGGTCAGTTTTATTACTATACTCGGGGTCTAAATTTGAAAACATGGCGTCAATTCCTTCACTAACAGGGAGGCTTTGAGTTGTGGAGTCACTTCCCCTCTTGGGGCCTTTTATTCTCATCTAGGAAATAAAAGAGTTGGAGTCAACGCTCGAGAAGGTCCCTTCAGCTTCAAATCCCTGTGACTCGCGTAGACCTGCTGTCACGGAAGTGGCCCAGGCAGCTCTACTCCACTGCAGGGGTGGGGTGTCAATGGAGGATCAGCATTTCCAAGAAAAGAAAAGCTATGCGTGAAGGGGCTACTTGAAGATCTGGGATTTCAAGTCACTCTGACAGGAAACATCAAAGAACATAGAGCTAGAACCCACTATGACTGTCTCCCAAGGAGAGAAGAGTCTGACAACTTTGGGCCAAAGAAGGAGGCAGATCAATGAGGTCAGGGGGACAGGAGAAACCTCAGGACACTGGTCTGCAGGGTCGTCCAGCCTCTGCCCACCCTCAACTAGTGAGGACAGCGACAATGATGCCCCTGACAAGTCCCCATCAATCTCTTTGCCAGCTCCATGGCTGATGTTTTTTACAGAATCCTGACCTTTTAGAACCAGGAGAGACCTTTATGCACAGATTTGCATGGAAACTGAGGACCAGAGGAGTAAAATGACTTGCCCAAGATAAAAGAGCTACCTGGAAACCAAGCCTTGTGACCACTGTTTAGTGCTGGGTGGTCAGTCAGTGCAGTGGGTGCTGGGCCAGTCCTCTCCATGTGCACTTATAGGAGGAACATCCAGGTTGTTCCATGAAACATAGGGGATTTGAGTTCTAGGCTCAGAGGCTGGCTTCCCTGGGGGACCCTAAAGAACTTGCCGCCCCCCCCCCACCGGTGTCTTGTGCTCTCACCTGGATGGAGACATTGGGGGTGGCCCTATCCTAGCCCACCCCCCTCCCACCAGGTCAACAAGTGAGGCCCCAATCCCTATACTTCCTTTCTGTAAGTCTCAAATGTAGGGGATCTGAGTTACGTATGTTCCACATATGTAAGAATCACATTGCTGTTTTTGTTTTTAGGAACAATAATGGTCTGTAGCCTTGTATCTTTTCTTTTTTTAAAATTTTTTTTTCAACGTTTATTTATTTTTGGGACAGAGAGAGACAGAGCATGAACGGGCGAGGGGCAGAGAGAGAGGGAGACACAGAATCGGAAACAGGCTCCAGGCTCTGAGCCATCAGCCCAGAGCCCGACGCGGGGCTCGAACTCACGGACCGCGAGATCGTGACCTGGCTGAAGTCGGACGCTTAACCGACTGCGCCACCCAGGCGCCCCAGTCTTGTATCTTTTCAAAAATACAAAGTTTGGGCATAAGAACAATCCTAGTACAGTTTAACAAACTGTATTCATACAAACGTAGACAAATAAAAGAGCCAGTAATAAGCAGTGGGTTTTGATCAAGCCGGTGAGAACAAGCCGGTGAGAGTCTTACAGACCACTACTGGTGTGTGTATCGGGGCCCTTCTTAGCTCTGACTTCAGGTTTGCATCATTGATGATGGTCTGGGCTCCAGCAATCTCAGAGAACAGAATATTTCTTGGAAACGGCAGGTGGAGTGTTCTAAATAAGAATAAAAGATGTGGAGTTAGACAGCCTTAGGTTCAAGACTCACATCCACATCCTGCATCATCACCCAAGGCAAGTTATTTAACTTTTCTGAGCCTCGGTTTCCTCTTCCGGGGACAATAATAACTCCTTCATAGGATTATTTGAAGGACTGCATCAGACAATGTATGTATGATCCTAGTGAAATGCCCAGTACAAATAGATGCACAATATATAGTATTTGAGTTCAGAAACTCAAGGGGGCTCAACCATTGACCGGAAATTTCAGGACAGTCTCCTCTTGGTCAACATGAACCAATTTCTCTCAACTCTTCTCTCTCAATTCCTCTTAAACCAAATAATGTAGATGCATGACCATTCAGATACACCCTGAAGATGGGTCTCCAAAAAGCATGACCCACATTCATTCAAATGACCAATCCCTTTGGAAATTGAGACTTCATTTCCATTTACCAAGTGACTACAGTCTTTCAGTACCTGGAATAAACATGGAATATAAGGTATCTCCGCCATGGCAAATGAGTATGGTATTTTTTGCCAACTATCCAATGACACAAACAAGGGCGAGAACATTCCTATTGTTGGAATCTTCAACTTCAAAGTGGTCTCTGGTATACTGCAGAAGAATTACTGAGTGTTTTGTAGACATGATCATTTCTAAGCTCCAAGACCAGAAAAGTCTGATTTTGTCTAAAACGAAGCCCAGGAATCTGCATTATCCATAAACCAGAGATTCAGATGTATATCCAGGTTGAGAACCAGTGATCTAAGCCAATGGTTATTTTTTATGTATACCTTATTATACTTTCTCACATATGTTCTGTCTCTTTGAACTTCATATTTATACCATTTGGCCACAGGGATGTTGGGAGAAAGGACTGAGAATACTTTTATCCTTGTCTCGTGGTCTCATGAGCCACTCCATTTATATTTTGAGACTCTCACTGCACTGGATGTTATAAAAATTTCTCCCTGCTTTCAGACAGTCTTTGGGTTTCACAAAAATGCACCTAGTATTTAAGATAGCAGTGAGTCATTAATATTTTAAAACAAAAAATGGCAGGGGCACCTGGGTGACTCAGCTAGTTAAGCATCCAACTTTTGCTCAGGTCTGATCTCACCATTCGTGAGTTCAAGCCCCGCATCAGGCTCTGTGCTGACTGCTCAGAGCCCGGAGCCTACTTTGGATTCTGTGTCTCCCTCTCTCTCTCTGCCCCTCCCCTGCTCACACTCCGTGTCTCTCTCACTCAAAAATAAATAAACATTAAAAAAATTTTTGAAAAAAAAATGGCAAACAGGATTCATCTGGCGTAATACAACCAGTCAATTGGCAGGGGCCACCTGGAACACCTGGGCATTCTGAGGACAAGCTCAGCTCAGGAAAAGGGTGTGCTGGTTCGATTAGTGATGCCTGGCATGGGTACAGTCTAGAAAAGAGTCAGAAAGATGCCAATTTTTTCCAGCTTCACCTTCACGTATATTACTTCCAAAGGATAAAGAGTCTTCAAAATTGATTGAAAAAGTGATATTTACATGTAAGGGTTTCATTCATACTGCCGTTGACAGCCTGCTCTCCGCCATTGTTATTTCCCTAGCTAAATCGAAGGTGCAGTCAAGAATCTGTGTATTTCCAGACCCTGTGGAAGAGTACACACCAAGCAGCACTTGCTTTCTCCCCCGCTGGAATGCAAGAAGGTTGTTTTTGTGGTTTCTCCCTGTACGTGCACCATCAGGACAGGCTGCAAGTTGTATAAAGGAATCGCTCTTGGCATTCCCTTTCCCATCCAGTCTGCCTTCCTTGGAAATATTCCCTCTATCCTAGATGCCCTTCCCCACTCTCCACTCTGTTTTTATTGCGACCCCACTGATTATTTAAGGTCCGTATCGAGAACTACTTCCTAACAGAAGACTTGACGAAAGACTTGACATTCCCAGTTGGAACTATTCTCCCACAATATTTAGTGACTTTATAAAAGCACTCCTGACTGTCTGCCTTGTTATCCTAGTTAATTGTGTGTTTGTCTACCTCTCCCCCTAGTTGTCAGCCCTTGGAGAGTAGAGACAGAATCATATTCACCATTAGAGCCTCGCAACACCAAGCATACAGAGCTGCCCTTGTAAGTAATCGAATTAAACTGGAAATGCAGCTGGGCTTTACTCTGTGAAAGAGAGAAAATAACATATGGGGCGAATCCTGCAAAGGGAAGTCTTCTCTGTGTTTTATGCTCTTCCTGGTGCATTTGTGTGCAGGGAAGCCTGTGTGAGAAAATGCCCCAACCACTCATCCTCCAAGACTCTCGCCCTGCTTGCCTGGAGATGTGGTCAATGCAGCAGACAGGGGTCCGGCACCCAGCCCCCCAGCAGCCTTCCCCAGCCCCGAGAGATCCAAGCAGCTGGGCTTCTGGACACAGCCACCTGTGCTGCCATCAGTCTAGACCCAGGACTCTCGGAGCAGGTGAGGGAGGCAGGCGGGAAGAGGGAAGCTGGGGTTGGCCAATAAATAGAAGCAGAGTCTGAGACATCAGCTGCCACTGTGGAGTCTGGGGGGCTGCCTGGCCTTCCAGAGGTTGCTCATTTCCTCCCAGGCAATGTGCCCACAGCATGGGTACCACCCCCAAATTAGCTGGGCTTCCTTGCTACTGATCCGGAGACCAACCAGTGGGGTTTCCCAGGGCACAAGGAACCCAGGAAATGGGAGGAACAAAAGGTCACACGCATCATTTGGCCTCTTCCCTAAAAATCAGTTCTTATAAAATTAGAGGACTGCGAAGCTCACAGATAACTATTTCAAGCTCTTCATTTTACAGATCAGGAAACTGAGACCCAGACATGCCAAGTGATTTCCTCAAGGACCTCCATCTGGCTAGTGGTGGGGAGAAGGATGAAGCCCAGGCTGTCTGCTCTCTAGTCCAGTATTCTTTTTTTTAAGGGGTTGGGAGGGGCAGAGAGAGGGAGAGAATCCCAAGTAATCTCAGCACAGAGCCCAATGCTGGGCTCGATCCCACAACCCTGAGATCAGGACCTGAGCTGAAATCAAGAGTTTGAGGCTGAACCAACTGAGCCACCCAGATGCACCCCCAGCATTGTTTCTAACACAAGCTTTAAAATCCACTGATTACCGATTACTAGCTTTTATTCAACATAGGTAAGAAAATACATGCTTTTTGACAAGGCACTGATTAAAATGACTAATGTATCCAAATGTTGTTTTCTATGTTCACTTTCAGCTCTCAAAATCGTACTGGACAGACAGTTTAGGTTTCGCCAAGAGAGAAGATTAAAGGGAGAATGGAACTAACATTTATTGCACGTTTATGTCCCATCCATCATGCTAGGCATTTCTATATAGGTTACCATATTAAGTCCTCACAAAATCCAGAAGGGAAGTATTAATATCCCTCCTTTTATAAATGAGGAAATGAAGCCTCAAAAACACTAAGGGGTTGGCTCAAGAAACAAAGCTAATCGATGGCTGAATCAGGATTCAAACTCAGATCTCCTGGCTCCTATGCCAGTGTCTTTCCACTGTTCCATGGTGCTGCACTCTTGGGATTGGGGGCTTTGGGGACCCTATGATTGATGTTGCCCCACATACCCAATGAGGGCCAAGGCAAGGCAAGGGGGCAAGTCAGGGCCAGATGGTCATTGTGACTCCCAAGGGGTTTTCCCCCATTGCACAGCCACTCAAGGTAAGTACCCTCTGTTCTACCCTAAGCCAAGTCCTCAAAGGTACCCAGCCTCTGGGTGGCTGTAAATTAGACTATGGCAATCCGCCTCTGCTCGAGGTTGGGGTAAAAGACTCTCCTGGCCAAAGGGGGCTCTCCTGGCCACACCCTAAAGAGGGGTTTCCTCACAGAAGCACAGAGAGGAGAAGTCTGTACTCAGTGTTTAGTTCTAATAGGTCCCCTCCCTTCCTTACAAATATGCTATGAGGACAAATGAAGCAATATACCTGAAGTGTCTGAGAGCTTTCTAAGTGCGGCATAAATATAGCAATGGAGCTGCTGATGCTGATAACAATAATAACAATGGTGATGACGGGACGATATCCACGGTCATAATTTAAGGAGATATTTAGAATGAGAAAACCCAACCAAAATCAATCCACTGAACTTTATTTAGAAGAGAGGCTGCTAATAAAAATATTATGGGACTGTGAACTCTTGGGAAATAATGATGATTTTCTTCTATTAAAAGGCTCATCAGATCCATTTCCAATGTACAGCTCAGTTATTTGTGGGCTCTTTGCCACTCAGTGCAACAAGTTTTCTATAAAGAGAAGAAGAAGAAGAAGAAGAAGAAGAAGAAGAAGAAGAAGGAGGGTGGAGGGGGGAGGAGGAGGAGGAGGGGAAGGGGGAGGAGGAGAGGGAGGGGGAAGAGAGGAAGGGGGAGGAGAGGAAGGGGGAGGAGAGGAAGGGAGAGGAGAAGAAGAGGGAGGAGAATGAGGAGGACGAGAAAGGAGGGGGAGGAGGGGAAGGAAGAGGAGGAGAAGGAAGAAGAAGAGGAGGGGACGATGCCATCCCTGCTGTGCACAGAAGCCCTGGGTTTTGGAGATACAAATGGCCTGTACAATGCCAGCTACTTCCGTTGACTGAGGGGACTGGCACTGGCGAAGGATCTGTCTGATTTTCTTCCTCCTCTCATCCCCCCACCCCCATCAGCAGCTGCTGTACAGTTTTTATTTAGAGTCAATAATAGTGGAACAATAATGAACGGGTGCTGTCTTCTTGGACTTGGTAAGGTCACATTCCAAAGATAAATCTACCCAAGTGTAAGAACCCAACATGGAACGTACATGGAGTACCCACTGCAGCAGCTAACGGAATGCTCCCATGTCATATGGGGCTGATCCCTATTTGTTCAGATTACTCTGTTTAAGGCAGTCTAGGTGGGGAGATTAAAGCCTCAGACTAGTAGAAACAGCAGGGCTAGGAAGAAACACATGAAGTAGAAACCAAACCCCAAGGAGAATGGGGCAATGAAGAACTGGGCAAAATCCTAACTCAGATCCAAGCAGCAAGTGGATCCCCATCATCTCATACTTCAACTGTGTCAAGAAAATGGTAGTGGAGAAGTGGCTACCCCAATGCCATTTTAAAGATGGAATGTTGAAAGCCCGCTAACCAAGTGCATGATCAGGAGATAAAAAGACAATTGCCAACAGCATTTTAGAACTTGCTAAGGCATCTTAATTCTGAGTTCTGGGAAACATCTCCAAACACAGCATGAAGAAGCGGACCACAAGGGCAGTCAAGGACTGAGACTGACTGTGGAATGAACCTCATCTCCATGATTCTCCTTAAGAGATGATATTTGCCACTGGAAAAGGCTGGATGGACAAGGAGGCCATATGGAGTAATGCCGGGCTTTGTGTATGGAGCGCCTTTGCTCTTGGACTTAGGTGGCCATGGGCTAGTCACCCTGCCTGGCCCTGGGTGAACACAACGCAGTTTCCTGTGCACAGAGGAGGCCAAACTGCGACATGCAAGCCTGATGATTCCCATCCAGGCACGGGTATACACCCTGAATGTGCCATCTGCAGGCATTCTCAGTGAGGAAGAGGTTTCAGGACATCTCAACTGAGCTAACCACCCTGATCCACCTTGAAAATTAGTGAAAAACTGGACCATTTTTCGCAGCTGTCAGAAAGCAAAAAGGATCTGTCCACTGGCAGTGATAAGCTACCTCCTGCCCTTGTAACCCAGAGTTCCAAACACTGGACTCAAAAGTGTTTCTGCCTCTAATTGAAAGAACTAAGAAACATGCTCGTTCCTTTGTGTTTTTCCTGATGGTAATTTAAAGGATTGTTTTTATATTAAAACACAAGTGTGTTGTGACCGAACATGCAAAACGTGGATGACTTTTTAACATTAAACACTAAAAATCACACATGTAACACTTACTAAGAGAGGTTTTGGGCCATGACATGCTTGGAGGACTTGTCCATCCTCCTCCATCTTTACTTGGGTGAAAAGGTTGAAGGAACTCCGTTCTGAGCTGGGTCTCCTCCTGGTCAGCCCACTCTCTAGCTAAGGAATTCCGTCGGCCACCTGCAAAATGACGAGTCTGGACATAGTCTATAGACATGTGGCTCTGGAACTTTTTTTCCCAGAAGTCTCAGGGACAGAAGAGTCTTGTATCATTTAGGATGATTGGACCAGGATCTCCATGTTGCAGGAGAATAAAATCCATGACTTCCAAAAGGCTGTTGCTAATTTATAATGCCTCCCTGGCCCAATGCCAGACTTTCTCTACCTAACAGTGCACAATGATCAGTAGTTCCTTTCCCTTGCCTCTTTACTGTTCCCAAATAACGCTTCTAACTTCCACTCTTGCCTCATCCCAACAAGATATAAGGAGCTGTGTCCCAAAGAAAATAAGGCCATTGCCTCTCCAGCTTCATCATCACAGAAACAAACTCTTTGCAAAAGCATCCACAATACAGACACTACCACCCCTCTTCCTGCTAATGGGGACGGCTACCACCTTATTTTATACCCTGCTTCCACTTAGTGGTAATTCCGGTGTATCTGGGTCTATCATGGAGCCGGAGAGACAGGGAATCATTGGCCATGCCAGCTTCTAGTTTCAACTAGAAGTATAACTCTTGGACCTAATCATCATAGAGATCGCTTCTACCCACCAACTAGGCAGAGTGAAAGACGCCTGCATTTTGCAAATGCTGCTCACGCTTGTAATAATTCAGCATGATGGCGGGTGATGCCCTGTCCTAGATGCAGTCTCTGGTCTAAAAACATGTCAACAAAATCCAAGGCCACTTCATCGCCATTTATTGAGGCCTATACCAAAGTGGTAATTTGGCCCTTAGCTAAACAACAGACAGTCAGGGTTTGCAGTTAAGAACATGACCTAAGTACATCCTTGGCTGACATTCAGCCCATTCCGGGCTTCGCTGGGATTCTGACCTCATTCTTAACCATCCAGCCCATCTTCAAGGTAAGTGGGGACTGTTTGACCCGACAATCCTAGACACAGAAACATTTTTTAATAAGAGAGGGAGGGTTCCGAAAGAATGTTCAATAATGTTTGAATTCACTACAAATTGCTGGGTAGATGGCTTGTGCAAAGGGAATCCAATCTCATTTCCAACACTCTCAGATTCACAGTGCTGTGATTGCTTCTGGAGACCTAATATTATATGTGTGAGGTGCTAAAGCATTCCTGTTGGGTGTCACATCTTGTCTCCAGGGAACTTAATTACTTTCACTATAGTTCTTTAACCACACCACCCTATTCAACCACATCCACAAATCATGTATCTATATAATTCCATCATCCATGATATTGGAGTGACAGCATGAGACAAGAATTTTTAAAGACTTTTATTGACTCATTGCTTAAAAAAATTCTCAATGAGCTCATATTATCTGCAGATACTTTGGTCTAAGTCTTTTCTGCCTGGATTTATTGGGACAACAGAGTAAGTGGTGAAACACACAGATTTAATGTGCAAAATGTCAACAGGGTAGACTCTCTTTACTCCATCACAGTCTCCATCTCCCTTCAGACTAGACCCTCTACCTAGGTCCAGGAAAAAGATGACCAGTAGGAATGCCAAAGAAGATGGAAGAGGAGGAAGAGGAGAAAGAGGAAGAGGGGGGAGAAGGAGAAGGAAAGAGGAGGAGAAGGAGAAGAAGAAAGAAGTTTTTCACTTTTGAGTTTCCAGGAGAAATCCCTACGATATAAGGACTTTCAGAAATAATTTTGCCTTTCCTGGACCCACCATCCCCACTGACTTTAGCATGCAACACCCACCTAAGATGGGCGTCCTCTCTCTCTGGAACTCATTACTCTTCGTAAACCACCTCGAACTGAAAACCTAAGCACAGCACCTCCACATCCTCACCTTTGCTCAACGCCCTCTCTGCCCCCCCCCCCAAAATGTGGCTAGGAAGATCAAGTGGGAGCCTCTCGAGTCAGCCCCTTAAACATAAACAGCAGCAAGCATTTTTTTTTTAATATGAAACTTATTGTCAAATTGGTTTCCAGGCAACACCCAGTGCTCATCCCAACAGGTGCCCTCCTCAATGCCCATCCCCCACCCCCCCGTCAACCCTCAGATTGTTCTCAGTTTTTCAGAGTCTCTTATGGTTTGGCTCCCTCCCTCTCTAACCTTTTTTTTTTTCTCCTTCCCCTCCCCCATGATCTTCTGTTAAGTTTCTCAGGATCCACATAGGAGTGAAAACATAGGGTATCTGTCTTTCTCTCCCTGACTTATTTCACTTAGCATCACACTCTCCAGTTCCATCCACGTTGCTACAGAAGGCCATATTTCATTCTTTCTCATTGCCAAGTAGTATTCCATTGTGTTTATAAACCACAACTTCTTTATCCGTTCGTCAGTTGATGGACATTTAGGCTCTTTCCATAATTTGGCTATTGTTGAAAGTGCTGCTGTAAACATTGGGGTACAAGTGCCCCTATGCATCAGCACTCCTGAGTAGCAATCATTTTAAATTTTTAGCACCTAATAGTAAGCATATCTACAGTCAAGATAATTACCACCTTTAGATACAGATAAGTGTGCAAGGCAGCTTTTGCACCATTTCTGTTTGGCCCCAATGAGAAAGTTCATTGACAGAATCTTTTACCCTTTCTTCCCAAAGTGGCCCAGATTCATGCCATCATGCCATTTGCCTTCCCAAATGCCATTATCCATCCATAAATCTAACAAACACTTTCAGCCCCAAGAAGCTCCTATTTCTAGGCGGCAAATGCATCAGTTTTCAGCTGACAGCGAAGTCACTCCCACATCCTCCATTATCTTCTGGTGGGATAGCCTATACCTCAGTCTCCCCCTCTACCAAATGGACCGCACGGCATGAATGGCATCCATAAAGAGACCCAGGGACGACAGTGTCAAGGAAATGATCAGACTGCCAAAAGTGAAGACGTGCCTCAGTGATCCTTAAATAGAAGGGAACAGTGAGACCCAGCGAGGGGAAAGAGCTCAGCCAAGCCACAGAGCTGTCAGGGCAGAGCTGGGAGCCGCCACCCCCAGTCTCCTGTTTGCAGAGCAGCGTTCTTTCTCCCACTTGGGAACTCTCTTCCACAGAAATGAATGCCTTCCAGTCCCGCCCCCACCTGGGGCTGAGCTTCCTGGAGCAGGCAGAGCCTTATCCCTCGTGGGGAGATGGGTGGCACTTTTGATCCACTGCCAGGGGATGGCCAGCCACCTGGAATCCCTGGCTCCAGCATGCTCCCCTCCGTCCCCATGTCTGGGTAAAGGCTTCCACTCAGCATGTGTGTAACTCCGAGCCACATGACACTGAAATGCTAAGTGAAGAGTAATTAACTTTTGCTTCTGAAAACCCACTTTAGCTTTCCATAACTCTTTGGGGGCCATTTCAAGGAAGCCAAACCTCCCGCACATTCTCCCTCAGCAATAAATTACCTTCCTGGCTTTAATTAGCTGCCGGAGTGCAAAACGGGGCTGGGTGCTGACGTGGCGGCTTTCCCCACAGGTCCCATTCTGTCACACAGACTCTGGGAGAATGGCAGCTGCGAGGAGGGACGTGGCGGGCAGTGGACTCCTTACCTGCCCACGGGGCGGGAGGGGGGGCAGCACAGAAGGGTAAGCCGAGATGGAGCTAAAATCTGCAGTAGATGAAATTCGTTGCAGGGGCCTCAGACTCCCCCTTCAGCTCTCCTGGCCCCCGGGTGAAGAGTCCCAGGCCCTTCTTCCCCCTTGCCAGACTCTCCCTCCTCCGAACAGCCCCCAAGCACACACACACACTAGCCCCCAGGTAGCCAATACCCTTATCTCCCTTATCATTTTTCCTAAGGGACAAATTACTGACAGAGCTCAATGTACTAGCCCTCCCAAGAGAATCTGCTGTACAATTGTGAGCTTAGCTGGAATCCAAATGCATAAGTCCCTAAGTACGTGATTTCAGTGACACCCGTGGGCTGAACCGGCATTGGCTGGGAGAGAAAGTAAAAAGGCACCCTGGGAATCCCCGCCATCATTCCAAGCCCAAGATGGAGATTTGAGGTCCAGTTAACCCTGCCTCTAACTACAGGTGTGACCCTCAGCAAGCCCCTGCCTTTCTCTGGCCCAGCTGTCCAGAAGAAAGGGGTGATAGATGAGCCGGAGTCCCCCTGGGCCCTGCCATGCTGATTCTGGAAGTCCTGAGTGTGGGAGGTTGGGGTCGGGGTGAGTGGTGAAGACACACCTAACCCAGCCTCAGTACACGGCTTGTCTTCTCCTGAAATCTTCTAGAATCTTCCATCTGGGCAGGCGGGGGGGGGGGGGGGGGCGCTGAGTGGCACCACCCCGCGGGAGGAGGCAGCCGGGCAGGGCTGCACCCACACATTCCATCCCGGGAGCTGTCTCCCCGGCCAGGAAGGGCCCTGGGGAGGTGCTGAAGCCCCCTCTCTCCCCCCGGGGGTGGGGAGCACACTTATGCTAATGGTAGCTGCTTCTCAAGGCTTACACCTCCTCTGACAAGCGAGAACCTTCCAAAGCCCAATTACAGCCTGCTTTCTCCAGCCTTTCCTTTCCTGGGGGGAAAAAAATTGAAAATAAGAAGTGCAACCAGGAAGCCCCAGATGGGCCCCACAGTCGGAGGCGGGTGACAGGCGGCAGGGCAGGCGGTGACGGAGGGGACGAGCAGTGGCGCGCCCGCAGCAGGGCCCAGCTCCCCCGCCGCTGCCCTCCGCGCCTCCCCAATTAGCAGCTGCCGGGCAGGCGGGCAGGTAGCCGGCCTGTCACAGCTGCCTGACAGGCCCCGCCATCCCACCCCCGCTGGCGGCCTGGTCCCTGGCCTGTCACGCCCCACGCGAGGGCGAGAAGTGCACGCACGCCCCCCCCCCCCCCAAGGAGAGCCCAAGGACAGAGGGCTTGGCTCCAGCCCGCCCTGGAAGAGGTCTGGGGCTGGAGGGGACCCGCCACCCTCATTCCTCATCCCAGCCCTGAGTGGACAGCAACGCCCAAGAGGGACGGGTAGCAGAGGGACCTCCCAAAGGGCTGGTGGGTCCTTGGGGAATCCTAGGAAATGGAAGGCAGAGGCCTGCTTAGAGG